TAGTACTGGAAGTGCTAGCCAGAGCAGTCAGGCAAAAGAAGAAATAAAAGGCATTCAAATAAGAAAAGAAGTAGTCAAACTATCTCTCCTCATAGATGATATGATCCAATACCTAGAAAATCCTAAAGACTCTTCCAAAAGCCTCTAGGAAATAATAAATGACATCAGTAAAGTTTCAGGTTACAAAATCAATGTACAAAAATCAGTATCATTTCTATATGCCAATAACATTCAAGCTGAAAGCTAAATTAAGAAGGCAATCTCATTTACAATAGCCACACAAAAGTAAAGTACCTAGAAATGTAACAAACCAAGGAGATAAAATATCCATAACACTGCTGAAATAAGTCATAGATGACACAAACAAATGGAAAAACATTCCATGTTCATGAATAGGAAGAATTAGTACCATTAAAATGGGCATCCTGCCCAAAGCAATATACAGATGCAGTGCTATTCCTATCAAACTACTGATGTTGTTTTTTATAGAACTAGAAAAAAACTATCCTAAAATTCATATGGAGCCAAAAAAGAGCCTGAATATCCAAAGCAATCCTAAGCAAAAAGAACAAAGCCAGAGGCATCACGTTATTCTACTTCGAACTTTACTGTAAGGCTACAGTAACCAAAACAGCATGATACTGGTACAAAAACAGGCCCATGGCCCAGTGAAACAGAATAGAATAGAGAACCTGGAAATAAAGCCACACGCTTACAACAATCTGTTGTTGACAAAAATAAACAGTAAGAAAAGGGCTCTCTATTCAATAAATAGTGCTGGGATAGCTGGCTAGGAATATATAGAAGAATGAAACTGGACCCTTATTTTCCACCATCTACAAAAATCAACCGATGATGGAATTAAGATTTAAATGTAAGACCTCAAGCTATGAGAATCCTAGAAGAAAACCTAGGAAACACCATTCTGGACATTGGCCTTGGGAAACAATTTATGACTAAGTCCTCAAAAGTAATTTCAAACTAAAACAAAATTGGCAAGTGGTACCCAATTAAACGAAAGAACTTTTGAACAGCAAGAGAAACTATTAACAGAATAAACACAACCTAAAGAAAGAGACAAAATACTTGCAAACTATGCATCTGACAAAGGTCTAACATCCTGAATCTATAAGGAACTTAATTCAACAAGCAAAACAAAACAACATCATCGAAAAATGGGCAAATGATATGAACAGACACTTCTCAAAAGAAGACATAAAAGTGGCTAATAAACATACTTAAAAATGCTCTACATCACTAATCATCAGAGGTATACAAATCAAAATCACAATGAAATATTATTTCATACCAGTCAGAATGGCTATTATTGAAAAGTCAAGGCCAGGTGCATTGGCTCATGCCTGTAAGCCCAGAACTTTGGGAGGAAGAGGCAGGAAGGTCACTTGAGCCTGGAAGTTCAAGACCAGCCTGGGCAACGTGATGAGACTCCATCTTTAAAAAAAAAAAATTGATAAAAATTGACAAAAAAAAAAAAATAGCCAAATGTGGTGGCACATACCTACAGTCCAAGCTACCCAGAAGGCTGAGACAGGAAACTTACTTGAGGCCAGGAGGTCAAGCTTGCAGTGAGCCATGTTCATGCCACTACACTCAGCCTGGGTGACAGAGGAAGATCTATCTCAACAAATGATCTACAAACAATAGATTACGGTAAGGCTGTGGAGAAAAGTGAATGTAAATTAGTTCAGCCACGGTGCAAAGCAGTTTGGAGTTTTCTCAAGGAACTTCAAACAGAACTACCATTTGATTCAGCAATCCCATTACTGAGTATACATCCAAAAGAAAACAATTATTTATAACAAAAAGAAACATGCACTTATATGTTCATCACCCCACTATTCACAATAGCAAAGTCATGAAATCAACCTAGGTGCCAATCGATGATGTATTGGATAAAGAAAATGTGGTGCATGTATACCATGGAATACTATGCAGCCATGAAAAATGAAATCATGTCCTTTGCAGCAACATGGATGCAGCTGGAGGCTATTATCCTAAGTGAATTAATGCAGGAACAGAAAGCCAAATACACATTTTCTTCCTTATAAGAGGGAGCTAAACATTGGGTACCCATGGATACAAATATGGCAACGACAGAAACTGGGGACTATGAGAAGGGAGAGGGCAAGATGGGCAAAATGTTGAAAGACTAATTACTATGCACAGTACCTGGATAATGGGATCATTTTTACCCCAAACCTCAGCATCACTCAATATGTCCAGGTAACAAACCTGCACATGTACCCACTGAATCTAAAATGAAAGTTGAAAAAAACAAGAAAATGCTTAGGGTCAGGAAAGGAATAGATAAAACGAGAGCAGAGGGATATAACCTTGATTCCATCTGGAGATCAGGGATGACTCCTAGGAGGAGAAGGAATTTGAGGAAAGGATTTGCACCTGTTGAAATGGACACAGCTTTCCAGGTTGAGTAAACCCAAGGGACAATCGCACATAATTAGAAACACTGATATACAGTGAATGAGAAGCGATTCAGTCTGGCCAAAACACCTGGGCTGGGTGAAGGGAGGGTAAGAGGTGTGGTCTGCCTATGTTAGATTGTGGGAAACTCTGAGTGAAATTAAGGAAGCTTAAATTTTGGACCTGGTGAATCAGGAGACAGGAAGTTTTTGAGACAGATGGGTAAGATAAAGTAGTGCTTTCAGAAGATCACTTTGATAGGAATCTATAAAACACATTTAGAGATATAGAAGAGTAGAGGCATCAAAAGCAGTTAGGCTATTACAGTAATCCAGATGATGAATAATGAGTGTGAATTAGGGTGGTGGCAGAGGTAGGTAAAAGAAATAAGAATGACCCAACATTGAGGAAGCTCAAAAAAGGGAAAGATGATGTTGAAGGGTTGGGACCTGAGATGATGGAGATGTTATAACACACATAAGGAAGACAGACTGGAAAGCTTATTTCTTTTTTGATTGGTCTAAAGGATGAAAGGTGGATTTAGATTGGCATGCACTGAGTTTAAAGTACTGGTGGGACCACGTAGATGGAAAGTTTCAGCAAATAATTGAACATTTGGAAGTGGCACTCGGGACTGATTTCAGAGCTGAGGTTGATAATCATATTTACAGAGGGGCTAATGGAAGCCTTATAAGTGAATGTCTAGTTGTGGGGAAAGATACAGAGGAAGGGTTAAAGGGCAAAAGGCTGGTGGAGTTAAATATCTATATTCAGGACAAGGGAAAAGAGAGGAGAACAAGGAAGTAGAAACACATCTGTGTATTGTGTCTAGTTAGCCTGAGCATGAACACGGACACACACACACACACACACACACACACACACACACATTTAGACGAAAATGCACACATATTAAGATTACTGGTATATTCAATTACGCATAGTTGGAAGAAAACTGAAGAGAGTTAGTGTCTCAGTAACCAAGGTGGGGTGAGGGGAGGATGATTTATAGTGTCAAACACAGGTAGAAGAGCAATACACGAAGAGAAACAGCTGGTTTTGCGCATGAAGATATGTTTACATGGGCACAAGCATGTGCTTGCCTGTAGGTGTATATCTGAGGGTTTTGAGGGGGAAGGTATTGTATAAGTAGGGACTAGCAAAGAAATGGGATGAAGTTGTCAATCAGGTGGCAGCAGTAAGCAGAAACATCATATATCACAACAAACGGATATCCAACAAAATGTTTTCTTGATTGTTATTTTGATTCCTTAAACCCTGAACCTGGATTCTGAACCTCGATTTGATTCCGTGTGGTGTATTCAGCTAATCTTGCTTCATTTTAGGCCGCTAGTCTTTCAATAGGTGTGGAATTAGTAGGTGACTAGCTCATGTCAGTGAGGGCCTTTTAGTAAGTAGCCTCTTGATTATGAAACGCATTTTGAGCAAAAGGCTGGTCAGAATAGTTAGCTTGTTCCAGCATACACTATGCTGGATGGTGGGGATGGCGCTTCATTATCCATTTGAATTATTCTTTTTAAATAGGATGGACTGGGCTCTGCTTATTTTTCTGGGTTAGGACTCTCCTTACCTAAATATAGTCAAATACATAACTCATTAAATGTGGAGAGGATTTCATTTGGGACAAGAAACCAAGGCAAAATATCCTCATTAGCAACAAACAGGAGAATGAACTTAATTCTTAATAGTGTCTCATCATTTTTCTCCATTATATTCCATTTGATTTCATTTCTCTTTCAGGCTCTCGTTTCCTTAAAGTTTAGTTAACATTATACTCTCAGAACCAAATCCCAGTGAGGAATGACTCAGGGGATGTAACTCCAGTCAATACTTAAATGCCACTCCTCCAAAGACGATGAGACAGGCAGAGGAGATGATTTGGACTATATGCTGGTCATGCGCACTTTATCCCACAATTATTATTTTTCATTTAATAGTTACTGATTGAGGCATACTCCTCTGTGTCTGCAAGAGTCCTCCCTTCCTCCCATTTTTCCTCCTTCCCCCTCCCTTCCCTCCCTCCCCTCACCTTGCCTGCTTTCCTGACTTCCTTCTTTAATTATAAAACAACATGTTAAAGATTCTGGTCCTGAAATCTCATTCCAGTTCATAAAAAAAAAAAAAAACCTAAATTCAAAGAACCTTGATTTTTTTCCCCTCTTCAGGGACTTTGTCATGAATTCTTAGCTGATTTCCCTTGTGTCATACCCTGGTCACATGATTGTGTGTGTGTGTGTGTGTGTGTGTGTGTGTGTGTAAGGGATGAAAACAGACCTGTCTTTATGGAACAGGTACAGTATTTCACAGCCAGCTGGCTAGTAATGGAATTCTTCTATCCAGAAAAGCTACTTTTCTGGATCTTGAACTGATTAGCAGATGCACATTCTACACTGAATGCTGATAAGACCAAACCACACACATTTGTGTATCTGTAGATGGTGTGCACATTCACATACACAAGTTTTTATTAAAATGCACACACATCTGTATTACTGGTATATTCACTTCTATATCGTTGAAAATCCTTCCTTTTGAAGGTTCAAAAGATAGCCAGGCAGGAGTTATTTTATAGAATGGAAGTAATTTCTAAGGTGCCAAACAATAGTAAGGAAATTAGAAGTCAAGGACTATCTTCCAAATGAAGAAGAAGCTCCATCAACCAATGAATGAAATTATGGTCATGCTTGCCATCCTGTGCCTTTTGGGTATCCAGGTATCCCCTATCGACAGCACGTGTTGCCCTAGGACTAGAATGAGACTTTCTTCCATCACTGTAGCCCACTCCATTCTCCAACATAACTCTTTAGCAGCTTATGCTTCAATTATGACTGTAATAATTTGGTTGTGTGGCTATTTCCACCACCTCCTGCCCACCTTGGAAAGGTGTATTTTCAGAAGTTAGGTCCTGACAGCAGCTTCCTTGGACCCTCCGTGCTCAGAGGTGAGGGCTGATTTAGCACTTCCCTGGCTGGACAGTTCCTGGCTCAAGCCTCTGACTTCGCCTTCCCTGCCCTTCCACTCCCTTCCTCTGGTAAGGCTCTAGCCTCAGATGCAAGGACCCCAATGGCCACAGAGGCCAGTGAAAGAACAATGAGCCTGCTGCAGAGCCTTAACTTCTCATTCTCTCTTCCTCCAGACCAATTAGCCCTTCCACTGCCCCATAGTGGAAAAAAAAAAAAATGGTGCACCTGAACTTGGCATTATGGGAAAGCCTCTGAGGTGTAGATATTAAGTATATATAAAATTTCCCCTTTTAGCATTGTCATGTACTTTTCACAAACATTCATCTCGGGACTTCCCAAAAGACAGACCCACCCCCAATTTTCCTGTCTCTTCTTGTTTCAGTCACTGCTCTCTTATCTTGTCTTCCTCCTCTTCCCAGGATGAAGGGGAGGATTGGGGTCTTGAACAATGAAAGGACAACATGACTGCCAAAAGAACCCATCGTGACTGTAGGCATATTTTCCATCCTTATCCTGCAGGCTTCCTGTCTGTTGTTGGCCCCTGACCAATTTTGCTCCTGGGAAGTCTGAGATGAAACATGATTTGTATAAAATGATGCTCAACCTCACTTATCATCAGGGAAATGCGAGTCAAAACCACAATAAAATATCACCTCATGCTTGTTAGGATGGCTGTTATCAAGCAAACAAGAAAGAAGTGTTGGTGAGTGTGAGAAGAAAAGAACATATTTGCATACTGTTGGTGGGAATATAAGTTGGTAAAGCCATTATAAAAAGAAATATGAAGGATTCTCAAAAAAATATTATTCAGACATAAAAAGGAAGGCATTTTTGAAGACATTAATGAACCCAGAGGACATCATACTAAGTGAAATAAATCTGACACAGAAAGGCAAAACCACAAAATCTCACTTACATGTGGAATCTAGAAAAGTCAAACTCACAGAAGCAGAGAGTAGAATAGTGGTTGTCAGGGTCTTGGGAGAATTGGGAAGATGTTGGTCAAAGGATGCAAACTTTAGGTTATAAGATGAACAAGTCCTGGGTCTCTACTGTGCAGTATGGGTGATGATGGATGTGTTAATTAATTTGATTGTGGCATTCATTACACAATGTATATGTATATCAAATCATCATGTTGTACGCCTTGGATACATTCAATCTTTATTTATCAATTAAATATTTCAAATTGTTTTTTTAAAAGGAAGGCAAAATGGGCCAAAAGGAGAAAATCCCTTGTGTAGAGCTGATGTCCAGGGTGGAATTTCTAAATTTTTTCTGTAACCTAGAGTCTCTTTTATACTTTTGACTTGCCCATTGTTCATAACAGATCTCAGGAATGCTCATCACGCTGCCTATTGCTAAAAACTCAAACAAGGAATTGTTATATGAACAACCCAAGTTAATGCAGTCATTAATGAAAGAACAGAGTTGTCATTAAAAGAGGTCATTTCTAGTTTTCCTTGTAATAGTCAGATCATAGCCAGTCACATATTTTAGGGAGGATGAAAATAGGCTGGAGTTCCTTCAGCTAACAGGATGCTGTAGAATAAAATATTCTACATGAGAATAGTTGAAGAAATTGGAATGTCTGGTGCCACCATGTTTATTATGAAGTGTTGAACAGGCTGGTCTTTGGATTAGAGATTGGACTCACTCTCTGTGGCCCTATGGATAGAGCAAGTTGGGGTGGGCAGGGAGGAAGAGTATCTTAAAGTGACAGATTTAGGCTCAGTGTGAGAAAGGGTTTTTAAGAGTTGGAGCTTCTCAAAGGTGAAATATGAGAAGCGTGCCCTGCAGGAACACTGTCTGAAGCCAGGCCACATGGCCAATAGGGAGAGATAAGTGGGCTGGGTGGCCCTCAGTGGTTTGCTACCAGTCCTGGGAGTCTTACTGAAATAGCTAATGAGCACCCAACCCAAAGAACAGACACATGGTTGCCATGTCTTTCTGGGTTCATCCTGCTTAGCACAAGTGAGGGCCAAAGCTGGGACTGATATTCCCTGATGTTTCAGGCCCATGGGCAACTAATTCCCAAATCTTTTCTGAGAAAAACACAGAGGGACTGTTTGCCAGACAGCTGGACCAGAATGAGGAAAAAGAAGATAAGGCCCAATGGAGAAGTCAGAAAAGCTTCACTTTTCATTAGCTCCACATTCCCAAGTGAGAAATCAATGTGCCTAGCTGCAATTCAAAGCAATTAGTCTTTGTTCGCACACATTCTCAAAGAATGACTTAAAGAAGCCCAAATAAATATTTTCAGAAAACAGAGTAAATTTGTATTACTTAACCCAAGGAATGCAAACAAGTGTAATTAAAGTGAATAACCATAAATAAAGTAAATACATTACTTAGGAAATGAATTAATTAGTGTTTAATTACTATCAATTACTAAAATCACTACAGAATTACTTGAGAATGGATTGAATCTCTGGCTCCTATTAATAATTTCCATTGCTAATTGTATGCACTTGTATTTTCTTTTCTTTGGGTGCATCTTAGCAGAGCTAATGGGGGAAGCAACAGCACAGTGAACAATGACAGGGACACTTTTTTTTCTTTGTTCAGTAAAAAACCAACAATCTGCCTGGTTGTCAAAAGCCAATGCGGGTGAGGAAGGGACACAGGTAGGAAGGTTGTCCTCGTGACGCAGGGTGACCCTAGCCATTCCCTGGTGAGGAGAAGCAGCTGATGTTTGTGGCAGAGCCCTAAGGTGAGGGGTGTGTGTGTGTGTGTGTGTGTGTGTGTGTGTGAGTGTGTGTGTAGGGAGGATAAAGGTGGGGACTGGAAGGCTCAATGCCTAAGCTCACTTCCAGCACACTCTGCAGATCGCATATGTAGACTGGCAGCCAGGAATCTCTACACACTGGTCTTGCCAGGTGAGATAACAGGTTTGACATTTACCTGGCGGACAGAGTACGTCATTTGCTGCCTTGCAGGTGGAAAGAACACATCTGAAATTCATGCTCCCTAACAGGCAACACACTAGCTAGTGCGAGAAACAGATCCATGCAAATGACAGGCTGAGGGTGAAGAGTACCTTTCCTGGGACCCACTCTGCCCGCTCACCAGCATTCTCATTTTCCTGCTTATATGCCATCTCCTTTTCCCTTCCCTTCCCTCTCCTCCTCTCCCTCATAGACACAGACTCTCAAGCCAGACTTCCTAGGTTTGATTCCAAGCTTCCTCACCTGTAAGACCTTAGGCAAATTACTTATCCTCTGTGAGTCTCAATTTCCTCACCTGTGAAATGGGGAGAATGAAAGTACCTACCTCTCGTGGTTCTGCTGAGAGCTCAGATCAGTGGGTGACACATAGCAATCTCTACTTTATTCATTTTCTTGGTATTACCACCACATATTTCTCTGAGGTGTAGTTGAGGGAATACACATGATGTGGAGATGAACTAGCTGGGAGGATGATGGATGGAGCGATTTGGGAGGGAAACGAAGTTGAAGAGGAGGAATTGGTCCTTAAAGCGGTTGTTTCGTTTATTAGTTAGGGTTCTCCAGAGAAATGGCACCCATAGGAGGTTTATTATGAGGGGTTGGCTCACATGATTATGGAGACTGAGAAGTTCCATGATCTGTTATCTGCAAACTGAGGCCCAAGAAAGCCAGTGGTGTAGTTCAGTCGAAGCCCGAAGGCCAGAGAACCAGGAGTGTCACTGTCGGAGGGCAGGATAAGACGGTTACCCCAGCTGAAGGAGAGAGAGGACAAACTGACCTTGCTTTTGCTTTTCTGTCCTACTCAAGCCCTTTAAGGCATGGATGATGCCCACCTACATTAGTGGGGGCAGATCTTCTTTGCTTAGTTTACTTATTTAAATGCTAATCTCTTCTGGAAACACTGTCACAGGCATACCCGGAGATCATCTTTTTCCACTTATCTTGGCACTCCTTAGCCTAGTCAACACATAAGGAACATTAAAAAAACAAACAAACAAACAAAAAAACATAAAAGGAGAGTAAATGGTGATTGCTAGGGCTTGGAGCTTGGGGAAAATGGAGAGAAGTAGGTTAAAGGGCACGTACCTTCGGCTATAAGATGAGTGAGTTCTGAGGATCTAATGTATAGCACAGTGACCATAGTTAATAATACAATACTATTTGCTTGAAATTTGTTAAGCAAATAGCTCCTAAGTATCTTATATGCGTGCACGTGCACACGTGCGTGCGCGCGCGCGCACACACACACACACACACACACACACACACAAGGGTAACTGTGTGGTGATGGATGTATTGATTAATTTGATTGTGGTAATAATTACACAATGTATATGTGTATCAACTCATCATGTTGTACACTTTGAATATATACAAATTTTATGTGTCAAATATACCTCAGTAAAGCTGGACGTTTTAAAAACAAGAAAGCTAAGAGAGAGACCAGGAGGAGTGAAAAGAAGTCTGCCATTGCTTGACGCCGGTCCTGAATTCATCTTATCATCCTGATGCCTCCATTCCTGACTTTCTGGGTAACCATCAGTCTGTTAATTATCCTAGCTTAATCCCAGGATTTTCATTGTGAAAAAGAATAATATAAATGTTTGCCTCTTGGCATTGCTGCCGGGCCTACGACTGGATGTTTTTGAGCCACCCACTGTAGTGTGAGGCACAAAGGTTAGGCTGAATAAATAATAACTGGTATAATTGGCAATAAAATTAAAAAGCTGACGCATAACATTAACCACTGCACTCTGTTGGTGCGAAGATAACATGGACTCTTGCATAAGGGCAGGTAACAGAGCACGTCTCTGTCCTGGCCCTCTGTCCTTACTCACCTTCTCCATGTCTTCCTGGGATGCTATTTTAGGTTCTTCCTTTTCAGAAAAGTCCGTGTCAGGGCCTAAGGCTGATGGCTCCATGGATTAGATCCTTCCCACAAACTCACCTGCTCTTGACCATCTGGCTGGGCTGTAGTTATTTGTTGTCACAGCTGAGCTGTGGTCACTCACCTGTGCTGCCATGGCCTTAGCACTGGTTCAGAATGAGGTTAGCATCCAGGTGAGAATGTACAATGACTAAGGAGGAATGCCACCTCTTCAGGTCAACTTAACCTTCACCTACGACTGGCAAATGCAAAGCTGAAGAAGCTGTTGGCTGCCTTCGAGAAACTCAGCATTTTGAGCACCCCATCATCATTGGACAATTCTGCCCTAGACCAAAAACCAGAGTCACAAACACTGGGAAATATCTTTTAAAAGTCTTTTTGTCCCAGATGGCTGTTATGTCACTTTCTGGAGGCACTCAACAGTGATTCCATTGAGGCTGACCTCTTGCCAAGGGGGTGAATGACGCTAATCTTTTGAATGTCTTCTGTGTTCCATGTTCTTTTAGTCCTCATTGTGAGCTCATTCACTTTTTCATTCATTCATTCATTTAATTTCATGAGGTCCAGAATGCATAACAGTAGAGAAGGCTCATTCTCTGCCTCTAAAGATACAATTGAGTAGGTACTAAAATACAGTGTGATATATACCATGAGCTTTTTAGAAGAGAGTAAAAAGAAGTGAAAGTTCAGGGAGGCTTCTAAGAGAAAGCAACCCTTACACAGAGGTTTATGTGTCAATTATAACTCAATAAAGTTAGACCAAAAGAAAACAAGAAAGAAAGAAAGAAAGCTAAGGGAGAGACCAGGAAGAGTGGATTGAGGTCTGCCATTGCTTGACACTGGTGTTGAATTCATTTTATCATTATGATAAATCTATTCCTCACTTTTTGGGTAACCTTCAGCCTGTTAATTATCCTACCTTAATCTCAGGATTCTTGTTTTTTAAAAAAGAATAATACTTTCG